GCTTATGGAAAATTGAGTAGCTGACTTGCTCCCAGTTTTGCAACGCCAGTCAAAAAATGCAAAATTTCAAGGATATGTATAGTTTCAAAATTAAAAAGCTACAAATTTGGTCCCTATTACCTAAATTTGGTACACTCGTCGATTTATCGACCGAAATCGATCGAATCGATAGAAACTCATTGACAAAAAGGGCTCTATCGATGAAGGTCATTTGATAAAGGAGCAGAAAAGTTTCCGTGATCAATCCGCTAATGTCTTGGCAACTGTTCTGAACAAAGAAAAAAATGCGGAGAAAGCCGATGCAGTTATGTTCTCTCGCTCGTTTCAGGACTTGGCGGCCTCCGGGGACTCGAACCTCGGACCGTGCGATTCGAAGTTGGTCGCGTTATCCGCTAAGCTGGGCGTGTCAACATCTCTCATCATAATAACGAAGCTCCAGAAAGCCTTGCGTATTGAGCAGTTTTGCTCTAGTCTCTAAACTTAGAGATTAAATTTAGCTCGCACGCTCTGCAAAATGACTTTTTCATGATGAATGAAATAATGGCTTGGCGTGTTTTGCGATATATCGATCGATCTGTCATTTAAACCTATGGAAAAGGATCGATAAGCAGGGTGTTCGCGACGAGCACCTTAATGATCGATTCTTTACCACAAGTTCAAATGGGACGCTTTCAGCTCGCTCGCTCCAAATAATGCCTTTTTCATGATGAATGAAATAATGGCTTGGCGTGTTTTGCGATATATCGATTGATTTGTCATTTAAACCTATGGAAAAGGATCGATAAGCAGGGTGTTTGCAACGAGCACCTTAATAATCGATTCTTTACCACAAGTTCAAATGGGACGCTTTCAGCTCGCACGCTCCGAAAAATGCCTTTTTCATGATGAATGAAATAGTGGCGTGGCGTGCTTTGCGATATATCGATTGATCTGTCATTTAAACCTATGGAAAAGGATCGATAAGCAGGGTGTTTGCGACGAGCACCTGAATAATCGATTCTTTACCGCAAGTTCAAATGGGAAAGTATCGATAATCGATCGTTCACGACTCGCCTTTGGAATGAAATTCTATTAAATTCAAGAGTCTGTCTTTTTTCGCCACACTGGAAAAAAAACACATTGGATCTAGAGTCCAGACCAGGGCGGATTTACTTACTTGCCGCCCCCTTCTCATTCGTTTTGAAACATCAATAAAAACCATCAAGTGAACATGCCGGAGGAGAAGGGGTGCATAAGACGCATTTACTCGTGTTGGACACATGTTTTGCGAAAGCCCTGTCAACACTTCTAGTGAAAGTTTCCGGAACTTGGTGCGAAAATTAAGTAATTCCGTGAACCTATCTCTACGCGGACAAGGCCCTCCATTCATATGAAATGAACGAAAAAATTATAAAATAACAAACATAAATATGGTTTAAAAATTTTAACTTTCGTCGCCGCGCTGACCGCACTGTGTTTGACGCAATGCGTGAAGTATTCATGCAGTCTTGTAGGCGCTATGCGTTTCACGCCGCCCACTGCTGCCCGCAGCGACCGCTCAGTGTTTGACGCAATGCGTGAAGTATTCATGCAGTCTTGTAGGCGCTATTATGTGTTACATGTGTACGCCGCACCGAGGGTCTCTCCTTTTCATCTCAAGTTCTCGACATCATTGCTCTCTGTGCCGTGCTGTTCCAGGCCAAATTCCATGTTCGGTTATCTCTCTTGGTCTCAACTCGACTAATTAAAGGAGTTGTCTATTGTATCACAGAAAAACGACAAAATTAGAGATATACTATCAGGAAATGAGAGATTTTGTAATCTTTTCCCGTTTGTAATTTTTTTTCTGAATCCGATTTTTCTTTTCGCCTACATCTAAAAAAATTGCAAAATTTGCCGCCCCCTAAATTTGCCGCCATGGGCCGCGGCCCATGTGGCCACCCCTTCAATCCGGTCCTGGTCCAAGCTATTAAAAACATCGACAAAAAAAAAATACTCTTGATTCAATCAGATTTAAGCATAAATCAAGAACCAAGCCTCTTAAGAGCGGATTTCCTTTTGATTTAAGCTTGAATCTGCTTGAATCAAGAGTCCTTTTTCTTGTCAATGTTTTCAAGAGTCTGGACTCTAGATCCAATGTGTTTTTTTCCAGCGCAGGTTGACCTAGCTGCGCTTACCTATCACAAAAAGGACCAATATAGGAAAGTTAAGCTTAACATAGATATGTTTTTTAACAAAATTTCATGCAGAAACCCTGCAATTTTTCATGTAAAAAATTGTCAGAAAGCCCGAAACCAACTAGAGGTGCCCATGAATAAAGTATTGCATTAAGATATTATTATCATTAAAATCGACGGATTCACACTTCTAGGCAAAAAACGAAAAATCTACGTGACCGAAATATGCGGTTGAACATATACTCATATGTTGAATATTTAGCTATTGGAGATTTGAAGAGAAGTGGCTTTCAAAATCATGATCTTGGCTATGAAGCGCCTTCACTTTTCGTGATACTCCACGCCTTGTCACGGCGTTAGTATGGTTGCTTCTTCGATTTGAACCCAACCTAGGTCACGGATTTCACTACACGCTCTTCTGAGTGTGCAGGTCAGTAAACATGCATTTTCACATTCAAGTCAAAATAATTATTAGTGCCCACTCTAATCTTGGCCCTTTATTTCTGAATTGTATGCTTTACTATTTGTTCACTTGCACTGGAAAAAAAAAAACACATTGGATCTAGAGTCCAGAAGCTTGAAAACATTGACAAGCAAAAATACTCTTGATTCAATCAGATTTTTGCTTAGATCGAAAGGAAATCCGCTCAAATTAAGAGGCTTGGTTCTTGATTTAAGCAAAAATCCAATTGAATCAAGAGTATTTTTTCTTGTCGATGTTTTTAAGAGTCTGGACTCTAGATCCAATGTGTTTTTTTTTCCCCCAGTGTGTGGCTTGGAGCCGAATTTTGTCGGTCCTCCCACCGTACTTAAATATACTTAGGACGGGTCTCGACTGCGCTTATAAGTCCGGCTTAGCGCTTCTGGTGATCGGCCGGTGGTGCGGTTTGAACTCATCGATGCATGTTGCACTCCGTGTGAAAAAGCCGACACAATTCGGCCCCTGCATATTGCCGGCGATTACCAAATGCCTGGGGCATATGCAATATGCATGCGGAGAAAACCACCATTGTTTTCGCAGAGAGTGTTATAAATACATATATAATCGAAACGACACGGCTTGAGTTGTTTGTTTGTCCGACTGACAATAAGCATGCAAATACAGATGTTTCGACCGGGCCAAAATAAATAAAAAAATAGAGTCACTTTTTCGATCAAGGAATATTTACATATTTCATGACCTTTTCGGTTGGGGGGAATCCCATGTTTCTTTCCTTCAGGTTACGTTTAATTTTTGGTTCAAAATGTTTACTGCGCGAATGAATAGTACTCAGTATATCTCGCACCAAGAAATTCTAATGTTGCCAAATTCTTCCCGATAAAATATTAATTTTTGAAACAAGTTACGAACTATCTCTCCACCAAAATTTCTATCACGCTGGGAAAAGTTGNTAGTATAGATTTCATGACCTTTTCGGTTGGGGGGAATCCCATGTTTCTTTCCTTCAGGTTACGTTTAATTTTTGGTTCAAAATGTTTACTGCGCGAATGAATAGTACTCAGTATATCTCGCACCAAGAAATTCTAATGTTGCCAAATTCTTCCCGATAAAATATTAATTTTTGAAACAAGTTACGAACTATCTCTCCACCAAAATTTCTATCACGCTGGGAAAAGTTGCAAATAAAGTTTCCTGAAAATTTCGGAGGAAAAGCCTCTTTGGTTTTCTCCAGTTCGTATTCTATCTGAAGGAAATTGATAGTATCGAAATGCACGGAAAAAATATATTGCTAATTTAACAATTGCTAAATTGCAAAATTTGCTAATTTAAATTTTATTGCTATGGCATTCACCTGTGGGGACATGCCTTGGATGTGAGTGATATCCTATTAGCCCAAAAGAAAGTTTTGCGAAAAATAGCAAGAAAAGGTAAACTGGAGTCTTTTAGAAAGCTGTTCCCTAAACTCCGAGTAATGACGGTCACTGCTCGTTACATTTTTATCTCAATCAAGGAGGCGATGAAAATGGCATATATTCGTAAGGAGAGAAGCAAAAATGACTATCAAACGGAAACAAGAAACATTCTAGTGCGAACTACGAGAAATGTTGACACGGGCTGGGACTGGGATAGCTTTGAGTTTAGGGCTGTCAGATTTTTCAGCAAGTTACCCAAAGAGTTGAAAGAAATCTTTATCAAAGCTGAGTCGCTAAATTTGTTCATTAAGGTATTAAAAAAACACTTTTTACAAAACCATCTCTACACCTTGCAAGAGTTTTTAAAGTAGATTACTCTATTTTGTAACTTTTTCTCATGTATTGAGCCTTTCTGTTCACGCTAATGTACTAATCTTTACAAATAAATAAATAAACAAGTAAATTGTAGAAAAATATGTCCGACATTTTTGAAACGTACATTTTACAACGGAGGGAAGCACGGAGGTGATTAAAGTAGCATTTTTTCATTGTAAAAAATACATTGAAATACGTCGGACACTTTTTTCAATTACAAAATTATTAAATCAGCAATCACTGGAAAAAAAGCACATTGGATCTAGAGTCCAGACTCTTAAAAACATCGACAAGAAAAAATACTCTTGATTCAATCAGATTTAAGCTTAAATCAAGAATCAAGCCCCTAATTTTGAGCGGACGTCCTTTTGATTTAAGCTTAAATCTGATCGAATCAAGAGTCCTTTTTCCTGTCAATGTTTTCAAGAGCCTGGGCTCCAGTTCCGATGTGTTTTTTTTTTCCAGTGAACATCATTTTTTTCGTGTATTCACACAATGTTTTTCCTTAACTGTAGAATACCTAGAGAGTGAAAAACAACGACAAAAAATGACAATCTACCAATCAGGCCGCAAAAAAAAAAAAAAAAAAAAAAAAAAAAAAAAAAAAAAACTTACCTCGAAAACAAGCGAAAACGAGGAGAACCATCCACTCTCGGACAATAATATTCCTAAAATTAACCGCAAAACCGGCGGCTCCCATGTTGAGATGCATACGTAACATATTTATGAATTTTTTTCTCTCGACGATTCGGAATTTCTATTCGCTCGCTTGAGGTGATCGCTCTTCTTACATCACTTGCCAAGCCGATCCTTGGACGTATTTCCCGCCTTGCTACACGCGCGACAATTCACACGCACCTGAACTTCCGAACGCACAAATCGCCGTTTCTCGGTCGAGTTTCCCGCGGTTTTTCCACCAACACTTCCTCACCTTCGCGAAAATTTCGAATACGGCTCGCGAACTTCACCTCTCATCTTAAAACTGGAACACCCGCGAGATCCACGTCTTGTTTTCGGAAAATGTGGTTGTTGCTGCGTCGATTCACAAACAATAAACAAACAGGCGCCGCCTCAAAAATTCAGCCCAATTTTCCAATTGTAGAAAGAGAAGCTATACAACTTCAGAATTAGCGACCAGTCGCGCACACTTCACACCATCCAGATAACTCGACACTTCAACACTTCGCTACTTCGACAAAATCCGAGCGCCGAGTCTTAAAATGTCGCAATAGGCTGAGCTCCGAGGATCCACACTTTCATTCTTCTTCGAGGAGAAAAATTTATAACTATTTCGGTCGATATTCGCGAGTATATTGGGAAAAATATCTATATCTATATATAATATGTATATATAATATATATAATATGTATATATAGTATTATATATAGATATCTATTAAAATATCAGCCGCAGAGACGTGGGAAAACGACGCGGTTAATCGGTTTCTCGTCTCGACGTGAAGTGCACACTTTCGACAAGGGTGGTGGGTTCGAAGCAAGGAATCAACACCCGATAAGACGCGAATGCGAACGTAAATAAACAAAGCAACGTGCGATCTGTTCTGTGGGCGAGGCGATGAATTTAGACGAGCGCCGTCGGATCACTGGCTCCAAGCCGCGGGAGCTTTAAGTTCGTTAGATGTTTGGCGCGTAACTCAAGTGGGTAGGGGGGGGGGGGGGGGGCAGGGCTAACCGGTGCGTCACAGGTGGTTATAAATCGGTGCCCGGTGGTTACGGCGCACGAGTGTTCCCCGGCGCGACGGGAGCGCCATCTCCGTAATCGACACGCCGGGATCGATCTTTGTTTTAGGAGGGAATTGCGTGGGCGGATGCGGCTCGCTATCAGGGTGGATTTCCCTACGGGGTAGGAAGGGCAGCTCTACAGGGTGGCGAAATCTCGTGGAAATCGAAATTTTGAAATTTTACGCGAAAAATTTCTGAGATTTCAGAAATTTATGAAGTATATTGAAAAATATCGGTACACATTGTAACTCTCTACTGTTTTTGTGTGTTTGAGTGCGGGTTGCATACTCCGGCCCCTGAAAAATACGAAATATTTGGACTACATTTTGCAATTAGGAACAATAAATTCCGGCCCGGTTTAAAAACAACGTATGTGCCATTAGCTTCCCCACGCACATGAGTGTTTTTTCGGATGAGCCAGAATTTATCGCTCCAAATTGCAAGATGTAGTCCATTTTACAGTCGCGTGAAATTTCATGAAATATTTCACTGTAATTTCTAATCTTTCATTCCTTTCTTACATTTCATGGCACCCTGGCGAGTGCGGCAAAATTTCATGAAAAATAAAATCTTGGAATTTCATGTGAAATATTTCGCGAAATTTCAGAAATTTACGAATGATATTGAAAAATACTTGTATACATTGTGACTCACTCTTTTTGTGTGTTTGAGTACGGGTTGCATACTCCGGTCCCTGAAAAATACGAAACATTTTACAGTCGCGCGAAATTTCATGCAATATTTCACTGTAATTTCCAATCTTTCATTCCCTTCTTACGTTTCATGCCACCCTGGCGAGTGCGGCAAAATTTCATAAAAAATAAAATCTTGGAATTTCATGTGAAATATTTCGCGAAATTTCAGAAATTTACGAATGATATTGAAAAATACCTGTATACATTGTGACTTACTCTTTTTGTGTGTTTGAGTGCGGGTTGCATACTCTGGCCCCTGGAAAGTATGAAATGTTTCACAGTCTCGTGAAACTTCATGAAATATTTCACTGAAATTTCCAATCTTTCATTTCTCTCTCACGTTTCATGCCACCCTCGCCGTCTTAAGGAAAAATGCCGTATGAGCCTCCAGACTTTGCCATATTTCCTTCAACGAAACACGAATTTATTGGGATAATTGTTAATATTTGTCTTCAAATTTTGCAGAAATTTTGTTCAATATATAATCCAAAATATCTGCAAATTTCAAGGACAAATTAACAACACTTTCTTCAGAAATGCATGCTGTATCTAGTGAAATTTGGCAACTTTCAAAATTGTATACGGCTACCTGTTTTTGCACGGCAGAGCTGCCCCCGGCGAAAAATTTCAGGGGCGGCAAATTCCGAGTTCGAAGAAGGAGGAAAGAAAAGAGAAATAGAGACCGAAAAGTTGCAACGAACAGCGGCATGAAATTCCAGAGCGTGCGAGAATGCATTATTCAATAAACAGAAGGGCGCCAACTATTGCGCAGCATAAGCCTCAGTTTCATTTGAATTTGATTGATACTTTCAGGTACAGGATACTTGAAATTCAAAAATTCACAAAATAACGACGCGAAAATATGCAAAAAGTATGTGGAAAAAGTGTTAAAATCGAGGTCATAATTTTGGAATTTTTTTGGTTAAGAACGGTTAATTTTGCTTCGGTGGGCAGTTAAAATGTCAAAAAATTTCGAGGGAGGACCCCGGACCCTTCCGCTTTTGGTAAAAGCCCCTCACAGCTGCCACGTTTCTCACGAAAGTTAGGAACGACGGCGATTTTTCCGTTGTTTCCAGCGGCGAACATGCAAATCCGGGGCTGACTGCTATCTGTAGGTTGGTTTTTGAAATTGATAGACCAAAGCTATAGACAAAGGAGATAAAAAGAAAATGGAAGAATTTTATTGGTGGAAGGAAACACGCCGGATGAACATTTAAGAGTTGGCAAATTTCCCTCAATACATCATGTATTTTTGACGACATTCAAGCATACTTTTCCTTAGAATTTTCAAATATTTTAGATTAAATTGCGTATGCTATTTTCTGAAAATATGGGGGGAAAATATTCACAATTTGTGAGGTACAAATTCGGGTTTCATCGAGGGAAACTTGGCATCATCTGGAGGCTCATACGGCGTCCTTCCTCAGCATAGCAGAATAATAGATTAACCAAGGGCAATCCGCGAGAGATCCATTGATTAGCCCATTATTTTCTCCCTTAGTCTGTAACAACCACCCCTTTCAACCAGTAGAATCGCTCCTTTTCCCCATCGTCTTCTTTGTCTATAGCTTTGTCTATCAATTTCAGCCAGCTGCTACGTAGGAGTGGTAGGGGAAAATATGTGGCTAACGTTGCATAAGTCATTTTATTTAAAAATCTTTCTCTATAGAGCGGCTTAAAAACCCTTTCAAGGCCCTCTCCTCGGTTATTTTAGGTCTAACGAGGTCGAGAACCACAGGATTGAATATGGAGTTGACCCCAAGAAATTTACATTCCACCAATCCGAAGTTTCTCCCTCCTCGGAACTTGCGGACTGATTATTGAAATTGATGGACAAAACTATAGACAAAGAAGACGTAGGGAGTATGGAGCGATCCTATTGATTGAAATGGGTGGTTCCTATAGACAAAGGGAGAAAATGATAGACTAACCGTCGGGTCTCTGGTGGGTTGCCGTTAGTTACTCTATGACCTACCTCCTTCGTCCATTGCAACCACCCGCTTCCACCAATAGGATCTCTCCATATCTCTTTTGTCTCCCTTGTCTATAGCTTTGTCTATCAATTTCAATAATCGGCCCGCTGAAATGGGGTTTGTGGCTGTGAAAATCAGGGTTTCCGCCAAATATTATAAATTGTTGCATCAACACCAAAAAGTATGAAAGAACCGTCTGCAGGACCGGTGGATGAGGTGCAATGAGGTATACATATAATGATGGAAAAGTTAACAGAGGGTAAAAAAATCTCCACGATCCTCCCAGGATTAAAGGCTCGCGGTCAGTGTTCAAAACTCACAGGCGCCAACGCGCCAAATGCGCCTAAAAGATCGGCCATGGCGCGTAAAAAATGAAGGCTCTGCGCCAACGTAGCCCCTAAAAATCTGGATTTTCACAGGAAGTCACATAAGGAAAGAAAACCAAATCTATTTGAATTGAAGAAACTCAAAATTTTCAGCACTACAAGTGAAAGCTTGCCTTTACTATTATTCACGATTTCATTCTTAGTGCTTTTGTCTTCCCCAAGTTACAGCTAGTTCTGTTACGAAAACATCTTGCGTCTAACTTTTCACTAAATTCGCCGTAAAATATAGGCAAAAAGTCAATTTGGCCCCTAAAAAATCTTCAATGGCGCCTGAAAATTGGGCTTGATGCGCCACATGGCTTCTAAAACTCAAATGTGAGTTTCGAACACTGCTTGCGGTGCACACTGGTTGAATAATTGAATATTGTGTCAACCGCAACGCGGGCGCGGGTGGTAGGACTGATCTGACAACGCGAAATTTCAAAGATCAAAGCGCGCACCGTGGTTTGCATGTGTCGCAGGCAATTAGCAATCGCCGGCGAACTGCAATCTATTCGTGTTGAATCCACAAATTAAAGTGTCAACTGAAAAAACGATATCGGAAGTAGCGATTATCATGCTTCGGATTCAAACACACGTTATCCCCTTTTTCTTGAATGCATGGTACCAGCGAGCACTTTCGCGAGTTCGTGAAATGTGATCAATAATCTGCGTTGGGTTCGGTTTGGTTAAGCAACTAAACTAACTCCTTGGCAAAGCGGAGAGTATCGCTGGATTTGAAGGCGTTCCAAGCTGAGGTCGTACATTGAATTTCTTCGCTAACGAAACCTTTGCTCTATCGATGTTATTGTAATTGCAATTTGACGAATTGACAAGTACGGAGATTGCAAATTGCCGGCGATTGTTGACTGCCTGCGACGCATGCAATGCGTAAAGTATACCGACAGTCTCGTAGGCGCTAATATACGTTTACGCCAACCTCACTGTTTGCCGCAATGCGTGAAGTATTCCGACAGTCATGTAGGCGCTAATATACGTTTACGCCAACCTCATTGTTTGACGCAGTGAGTGGTGTATTCCTACAGTCTCGCAGGCGCTAATGTGCGTTTAACGCCGCGCCGGCCGCACTTTGATCAGCGAATAATGGGGCTTTAAAAACCAATGTTGTGTTAGGTCGCCGTATGAGCATTCCAACGTTGCCTCCTTTCTCCAGATAAAATATTTTTTCCGAGAAAAGTTCGGAAAGTTCTCCTCGATGTTCGCTCATTTAGATAAAATGGACAATTATTAAAGGACAAATGGACGTATTTCTATCAAACTGACCTAAGCGCCATAGGGTGAGGAAGGTAGAGGGGGGCTTGGATTGGCGGCGGAATCGGGCGTCCGGCTTATTCCGTCCTATACTCGCAATGCTTTCCCATGGCGCTTAGGTCCGTTTGACAGAACGCGCTATCCGGGATTCAAAATTCCTCAAAAGGAACTCAAATCGGCGCTTAGTTCCGTTTGATAGAAATACGTCTAATTATTAATGGACAATTATTACAAGGTACGAATTTAAGCACTCCGATACTTGATTTCTCACCAGAATTTCACGTAGAACACGATTCGCGGAAAAAAAACTACTGAAATCAACTCCTCGCTAAGATAGTAACGGTTTTATTTCCATTCATCACGGAAAATTTGTATAACTCGGTCACAAAAAAAACAGCGGGTCAAATCGCGCACTACAACGGCATCAACAAACTACTCAACAGAGACTGAAGACAGAAGAGACATAGACAAAGATAGAAAATACTCATCCAGGCCTTGTTATTTAAATTTTCTTTCGAATCCGAGCGACACCGCATTGGCAGCATAAAAGCGGAGCATTGCGAGTTCACGCTCCGCGCCATCGCGCCTTCAATTTTGCAGACGCAACACGGACATCCATCAAGTTCGAATAGTTGTATCTCTGCGCCGTCATCAACCCGCTTCCTTTCCTCGATCTATTTCCATATTTTGTTGTTTCCGTTTGTCTGATTTGTAACGGTGATTTAAGGACCACGTGAGCAACATAGCCGAAGATAGATGCTCGCACTAATCACATTTGATGAAATTTCCGTTGTGACTGATGATGTGCCTTGATCTGGGAGGAGGGGAGGGGTGATTATTTTTTTATTCCTTAAATATATATAATAAGCACGTATGCATATTATGTGCCTGAGTCCGTAGTTGATAAAGAAGTTTGCAATGGGCAACATTTAAATGTAAGATGAGCGTTATAAACGCAGTAGTTACTTAAATACTAGTCGAGTCGCTATTAGGGATCTTCAGATTTGTGAATTTTCGTAACCGGAAACTGTCAACAAGAATGACTGTGAGCGGAAACGGAAACACCGGAAATGGCGATTCTGGCGCTTTTGCGATGGTCTATTAATCAATCGAAACATATCAGACAAATTATCTGCCTATTAATCATCATTCTGAAAACATGCGTCAACTTCCCTCCCTCCAGCCCCCAATCATAGATTGTTTGTTTACCTCTCAGCTCATGATGATTCATTTTCACCATTTTCTCCACAATTCCTCCAACCCGTGTAGTTTTCGAATTTAATAGGTTCATCGCACCCTTTAAACTTACGGTTGGCATTTCCCTGTATTTCAAGTAAATACTTTACATTATGTAAGAATTTCTCGTTGCCTTAGTGAAGTGAAGTTTTCTAACCTAACACCCAAAATGGATTCTAATTTGAGTGATTTGCACCCCGATAATAGGATAAAGAAGCTGGCTGAGGAAGCCGAACCTCAAGTTGATTTTACTATTCCTGCTCGGAGGTAAGATCCTCAGATAATATAGATCACTCCCACCAAATACTCAGGATTTTTGCCGGAACTGAAGAGTTGCTCTCTACACCAACTTCTGGTATCGTAGCGGACTCATTCAAAAACTTTTGAACCATTATTGACTCTTGAAGTCGACTGTATCCTAACATGCCAGTTCTTTCCAATTTTTTTTGTATCATAGGAATTTGTGGCATCGCTTGCATGTAGTAAATGTCTGAGCTGCGACCTCTACACTGTACTTTTACCCTTTGCTTCTTGTTGAAATTTTGATCTTGTCTTAAAGTTATATTTTAGGTAATAAGAAGAAATAGAAGTCAAATGAGAGGTCTCAGTTGTTGAGCCCTTTGACCAGAATAATTGTGCCTTTATATCCTGTAATTTTGGTGAGTTGAATTCAACTGGCCCATTAGCTCAGTTGGTTAGAGCGTCGTGCTAATAACGCGAAGGTCGCGGGTTCGATCCCCTCATGGGCCACTAATTTTTAAGAAAATCTATTATCGATCTCTTGTGCTCTATTCAGTCTCCTCTCACGTCCCTTGTCATATTTTACCTTTTGAGTTAGTAAAGAAGATAACAATAATTGCTAACAAATTCGTCCAATCGGGTTCTTATAAATAACTAAAATATCTGTTGAATACTGAGACTTCACCGACGAGATATACTCCTTCGTGCAGAAGATAACTATTTGATGAATCTTTAGAGGTGTTGTCAAATAAGTCGCCAGTTGTTTACTTTTGGTTTGCAGTCATTTTCGCATCACTACTATCCACATGAAAACACCGGACTCTTGCAGAAGGAAGAACACAAGCTTGGATAGGTATTTTAATACCTACCTTCAAACCTTTTAACACTTCAATTTTTAGCCACACAGAAATCACAACCTTATAAAAATTGCGGATCATGACTGATTAGTAGTTTTTTCTTCGATACAATTATGAGACGGATGTTTTCAAGGTGGATACTAGCGAACGGCAGTCTGTGCAGAGGCCCAAATTCGTTGTCTGTGCTTGCAAGCTGAAAGGAAACGACGGCCAATTTATCGATGACACCTCTACTCATTGCTGACATAAAACAGTTTTTTTCCTTGAATTGTGACTCAGGGCTTTCATGAACAACAAAAGTATCAACAGATGCTGTTGTCCACTGTTATTTTGTAGTTTTTCAGTGTCTATTTTGTAAGTTATCATTTTCAGCCAGAATGAGATATTTATATTTTTATTGATCCAAGTATTCCTTGAAATTTTCCAGGTATTTTCGATCAGGGAAGGAGATGGTGCGTATGGCAACTGTATATTATGATGAAGGCAAACTGGAAGAGGCATATAAAATTTACTTGAGATTTTCTATGTGAGTTCATATTTATTTTTCTCAGTTATTTCACAATAGAGGTACACTTTTTTCTGGGCATAGATACTTTTTTTTGTCTAAAAACAAGCCAAAGGTGTGTAAGTAATGCATTACCAGACAAGGTATGGATTTAAAGGGCCTTGACATGTATGTACTTCCTCCTTAAAATTTCATGCATGTAGAACATGATTTAGGTATTGGAAATTCTGGAATTAGCTCCCAACCAAGAGATTGTGTTTTTCTGAAGCACCGGTTACAAAAAATATGAATTCCCCACTCACAAAAAAAACTATAGTCAATATAAATCAAATCATGCTCTAAAATGGTTTAAGCAGGCCTCTGAATCCATCAGTTTGCCTCCAGCACTCTGTATTGTTCAAAGTGTAAACAATGAAAGTACAACAGCTGAATCAAGTTGGAGATTGCTACATTTTTTTATACTAAAGAGCCTGTTACGATAACGTTTAAGTACGGTGCGATTAAACTCAAGCAGATCATGATATTTTTCATGAGTGGGGAGTTTGATCTAATGCATCAATAAACTGTAATATATTGGTCAGAAGTTACTGGTTTCTTCGCAAAAATCATCTTCTTTGTGAAATTTTAATATAAGAAGACATATCTCAATACGGTTTGAAAATTATCACCATTAAGTTTTAAATCTGATGATGAAATGAGACAGTCTTTTGCTTTTGGTCTTGACGGAGTGACCGAGATTAGTGCATGTAATTTCAAATCCAAGAGCCCCGTTATTTCAGTCATTATCAGTTTCGTCTTCGATTTTTTTGGGATTAGTATAGTCTTCAGTCCAAAATCCTTCATAAAATTACAGTGATTCTGTTTCTTGACCAAAGCAATATTTTGCATTGCTTCTCAGTTTACTGAATGCACACAGCCTGGATTTAATCCCAATTTCGGTGTGAACTTCGACTGCTCCTCATGGTTACATCTCTAACGTGGAAGAGTACCTAACAATGCACTCACATCTCTGAATGCAACTGAAATTGAAAATAATATGTCATGCCTTCTTTTTTTTCCCAACAGATTGTTTCTGGATAAAATTAAAGGCCACCCTGAGTTTAATACCAAAAATGAGGACTTTAAAGATATCAAGGAAAAACTACAAACTGCCATACCCAGAGCTGAAGAACTGAAGAACAAACTTTTAAAGAAGTATAAAATTGAATATGAGGCCCACCTTCAAAACGTAGTAAGTTCACAATATTCTCAACCTCTCTGAAGAATTTAAGTTCCTTGGTTTTTTTTCCGCCTTCACTATTTTTCCCCTCAGTTGGCATGTTTCAGAGGCACTGTGTAACTAGTTGGCGGGGACCAAGGCATCATTGGAAATAATTTTGAAATAAGCAATTTTTTTACTTTTAGATTTTAGTTGAGTTTGGAGTCTTTGAGCAATTTCCATAATCTCTCCTCTTCTTTCCATAAAAATAGTCTTAAATTGTAAGTAAGCGCTTCTTTAAAATAAAGTGAGGGCTAATAAACCTTTTTAAAAGTTAACAACTTCAGCTAAAATGAAAGCCAACTTAATGGGTCAGTTGCGCTGGTCACAGAATCGTGTTTTGATGCTTGATTCTTGTAGATCAGCCAAAAATAACAAGATCTGTCCAAACAGCAACTTCCTACGTTTAATATTAACCGAGATATCGCCCTTGGAAAACTCGGGTTTTTGACGTCATTCACCGAGGTAGTGACACCCTTGGTTTCTTCCACCTTGCTTTCATCAGTTGGTGTGATGCACATTTGCACTGGTTATTCATTGTGAAACTCGGATGATAGCAAGGTGGAAGAAACCAAGAGTGTCACAACTGCTGTGAATAACGTTAAAACCCCCTTTTTTTGAAGGGCGATATCCCGGTTAATATTGAAAGTAGAAAGTCGTTGTTTGGACAGATCTGTTCATTTTCGCTAATCTTCAAGAATAAAGTATCGAAACAAAATTCTTTCACCAGTGCATCTGACCCATTAGCCTCAAAGTGGGCCTGTTGCAAACTTTTGCCAGAGCAAAAATTAGAGTTGTCTCCTACAGAAAATTTCTCAAAAATCAAGATGAGCACATCGGCAAACTCTACAATGCACTCCTAACTTCACAATCTGCGCAAGAAATTTGCGTTTTTTTTAGATTCTTGCTTCCAAAAAGGATACGACGTTCCAGGTGAACATTTTGTGAGAGGAGTCGTTCTATTTAACCCCTGCGCGCTAGGATACTACACAATATTCAACATGGCCGACACCAATCTGCTAAAACACTTGTGCCTTGATGAGATTCTAATCCAGCAAGTTAACATTCACGATTTCTTCGCATTGATAAAGATCTACTTTGGTTGACCTTGTGCCTCCAATTGCGATTTGCGCGCAGAAACGTTGGCTATGTTAGGTATTGCTATTACGATAGGCTTTGGATGGAATGACTCCTCAAATGGAATGTTCACCTGTGCCATAGTGTTGTTTTTGAAGTGGGAAGCTCAAAAAAGCGCAAATTTCTTACGTAGATTGTGAAGTTGGGAGTGCATTTCATAATTTGCTGATGCGCTCATCCTGATTTTTGAGAAGTTTTCAATATGAAACAACTCTCATTTCCGTTCCAGCAAAAGTTTGCAACAAGTGCATTCTTACAAAGCCTTTTCTTTGGATTAAATTGTATTTTTATAATATTTTCACTTAATTTCCGTCTGAAATCGTTTGTTAACAGCGGCAGAAGGAACAGCAACAACTGAAAGCACAACAGCGACCACAGCCAGTAGCCCCTCAGATGAAACCTCAATCAGCACCAGCAGAAAGAAGGCTCACTGCTGGGAAATCTGACCTTTCTAACCAAGTAGCAATTGTTCCTGCTCTCCCAGATGACGACATCCTCTACCCACCGCCCCTCACCGTTCAAGTGCCTTCAGAGAAACCACTTTTCGATCGGTCCAACAAACCTGCCTCATTACTGAATTCCCAGCCTTTGAGGCATGGTCTGCGGCCAGTCATTGTTCCTGCAAAACTTATCCATGAGTTTCTAGTTCTGGCAGACAGGAACACAATTAGCAATAAAGAGACCTGTGGTATCCTAGCGGGGAAACTTGTGAGTCCCTCTTGTATTCATTTGTTTTTCTTCTCTGTAGCATCCATCAGAGTTTTTCTGTTGTTAGGAAGAATATCATAGCAAGGGTTAATAATAACAGGCAAAATTTGGATTATGGCTAAAATACATGAAATGAAATGTCATAACCTAGCCATTCACTAGACGAACCCTAGTTGAGCTTCATTTCTAAAAGACACGGTTCAAAAAGTACAAGGTTACAAGTTATGTTTAAAAAGGCGAAGACAATTAGGAAAGCTACATCTTATCTAATACAAGGGTATGCCACAACCAGTAACTACGATCATGCTATAAAATTTTACAGGAAGATTTTGCAGACAAATATCTACCTAGAGAAAATTTCTCAATTTTTGGATCTTCTCGTGAGATTTTGCAAATCTGAATATTCCGATTTCCCAAAGTGAAATGTTGTTTATCCTTCTAAAATTAATTTCAAAGCTGTTATTAAAAATTAGAAGTGTGGAAACTTTACAAATCTACATCTTGAGATACATTATTTTCTAAAACGGAACTTTTTACCTCCTTTCATGCATGTTTGGAGCTTTAAAGGAATTATTCATTTTCAGTCAGCTCTCTCTTTGTGCCTTTTCCAATAGTCCACAGGAACTGAAATATGGTCTATTTTTAATCAATACTGTTTTCCTCCTTTTCTATAAAATTCTCTCAAAATGAAGGAAAGTTATGAAAGTAAATTCCAGGATCCTGCGTGCGTAAGGAAAGACCCTTTGTTTTGCTTCCTAAAATAAAGCATTTTGTGAGAGAAGAAAGTTAAAATCTGTAAAAAAGTGCTGCGGTATTCTTTTTGGAGACATCAGACCATAACAGATCAAATGAATGATTACCAGTTGGTTAGCTTTTGCTTTTCTTGTTGCAATTGTTAACAAAAATTTCTTTTCTTTCTTTCTTTTACTTTGTCTCTCAGTAAAGATTTCATTTTTCTGCTGAATGAGTCATGAATCAAAAAACATTTTGAGTAAAATTTTTCCCGAAAAAATTGGATGTAATACTTAATCATGCATACAAAAATGTTGCAGAATGTGTAGCACATATTTAATATGATACGGAGACAGAAATATTCAACATTTTCTGTTGAAGCACATTTGGAGAAAACTTTCGAAAGACTCAAAATCTAGGTATCTCAAGGGAAATTTAAAAATTTGAAATAAGCATTAAGGATACTTTGAAAGAAACTGGAACTATTTGAAAGCTATATTTTAAAGTTTCAACTCTAGATTTACTGGAATTTATTTATATTGTAAAAATTTATTTTCTATCTTAATATTTGATAGTTTATGACCATTCCTGTAATTTCAGAGTCAGGACAAATTAGTGATAACTCATCTACTGGTGCCCGAGCAAAATGGTACGCCAGATTCTTGTACAACGCAGAATGAAGAAGCCCTATTTGCATTCCAAGACAAATTTGATCTTATAACGTTAGGCTGGATACATACACATCCTACGCAAACTGCATTTTTATCTAGTGTTGATCTTCACACGCACTGTTCTTACCAATTGATGATGCCTGAGGCACTAGCCATCGTATGTGCTCCACGCTATGACAAGTATGTCTTTTTTCAATCTTTCCTCATTAGCTCTTATCCTCAACTTCTGATCAAAAATTAAAAATAATGTATGGTATGGTATTGTCAAGTAGTGAATGTGAAGAGTCTTCAGCCACCAAGAGGGCTGCGAACTCCACTACAAGATTATGATTTCTTGCATAACTTCACATTGTTTCTATACTACAGCGCTCTTTCTTGGTCTGAAGTAAATTTTTCTCTTGGAAACTTGAGCATCTATTCACCCACATCGGTACTTTGTGCAGAGCCAGGTTTATTTTTGCATTTCTTTTGATTTGAAAAAAAGCCTAGGGAAAGTTACTTAGACGGAAAATCCAATCTGCACAGGTCGAGAAGGAGGGAAAGAAAATTTTGCTAAACTCCTTTAAGTATTTCCTAGACTTAGTATTTTGGATCTATAAGAAAGCAAAAGGCTTAGATTTGATAAACAAAATAAAAAACAATGATAAGTGGCAAATTCTAGACAGCAAATGGACCACTAGACAAGGTACAAATTTCAGCATTCTGATACATGTTTTTTAACCAAAATTTCACGAAAAACACGATGCGTACAACAAATATTACCGAAATCAACTCCTTACAAAGATATTTAATGATTCCTGATGTGTGAATTCAAACCACCCGCTCATTAAAACTCAATGCTCTACGTGATTCACATTGAGCGCTAAACATTATAATGACAGTCTCTGCGATATAAAAATCTGGCAACCTCAGTCTTGACGCTTTGGCTCAGCTATAGCAAATTGCTTATAGTTTGAACAACACATGGTGGGAAATGACCATTGCTCGATTGAGAAGCTTGCTGAAACCATTGTAGTGCGCGATTTGACTCACGTAGAGCTTTGAGTTTCTTGTGAGCGGGCAGTTCAAATTCCTCGCAACCAATGTGAAAGAAAAACTTTAATATCTTCGTTAGGAGTTGGTTTCAGTAATTTTCGTTGTTTCACGTAAAATTCTGGTTAAGAAACTTGTATCAGATTGCTGAAATTCGTACCTTGTTTAGTGGTCCATTGAGGTGCAGTGATGTAGGTATTTTTAGCTTACTTTTTAGGTGATCTGAATCTGAAATGAGCTCTTTTGCCCGGCTCAGTCCCCTCTCATGTTGTGTGCCTCATCAATTTTTTGGTAAGACATGTAGTGTAATTTATGACCGTGCCTGCCAATAGTAAAACGGACCCTAGCATATCTAGGTAATTTTTTCTTGGAACATGCGTTTTTAATGGACAACACTTTCTACTATCCCACAGAATAAGCTGAGAATGATTTAACTCATTCAAGCACCAACAGAGGCTATAATGATACACTATACTTGGAACAAACAACTTAGCTCTGAGCCCTAACATTTTAGATCAAATGGAGCCAGCTAACGGCTGTAGTGCTGAGCCCTGTAACTTTACGGTCCAGCCCTACAGCTTTAAAGTCCAGCCTTACAGACTATAGGTCTCAGCATTACTGCTGTTAGCTGGTTCCATTTTATCTTAAATTTTGTGGCTCAGCGCTAAGTTGTTTTTTCCGTGTAGTGCAATAGGTCTGAGCCATCAACTTGGCAGAATTATAATAGGTTTCTCTTGAAACCTTGTCTTTTGAATTGCACACTTCAAACCATATTAACTTCGATTTTGTTCTATAGTTTTGGATCTTTTTTGTGTCAAGATGTCCGTAAAATTCTGTTTAGTTATGACACTAATATCTTAATAAGTCAGTTGGGCTGGTTATAGAATCATGTTTTGATGTTTTTAGCTTACAGATAAACAAAAAATAAAATCTGTTCAAATGCCAAGTTTCTATTCCCAATATTAACAGAAAGCAGATTTTTTGTAACATTACTCTATCAACCGTTTTTTTTTTCTTTTTTTTTTCTTTTTTTTTTTTTTTTCTTGGAAGTGGGAATTTTGATACATCTCTTTAATTTTTACAGTGCTTACTAGTCAGAATAATAAGATGATGAGAAATATTTCAAACTGTCATTTTGGAGGCTCCTTTATGCGTCCAAACATAGATATCATTTGCATTCAGTACATCAAAAATTAAATGTTTTATTATCTCACGATTTTTAATTCACTCTCGTTTTTTTATCTCATATGTTTTTATCTTTACAGTTATCGTTGTTTTTGCTTAACTCATGACTATGGTCTGCGGTACATCGCAAACTGTCCAATTAAAAATGGATTTCATCCTCATCCCAGTGAACCCCCTCTGTTTATGGTAAGTTTTCCATCTTGCATTTTTAGTTAGAGGTGCAGAAAGTTCTCGGTTGGCATATCAACAGGTTGCGGGAGAAATGTGGAGGCACCTAAGAAGGGGAAAAATGTAGGGCCAGAAGTCATTTGGGATTTTTCTGTTTAAAATTTTATATTATTTCTTGGTGTGAATGTGCTTTTTCTTGGAAGAAATAAGTAAATGCATTTTCCCCTGAGATAGGAACTGCTGAGCTTTCCGTGAAGTAAGCTGTGTGAAATCCTCTTGTATGCAAAGAAAATAGCAGATCTGGGTGAAGTTTATTTGGACAGCAATGTGAGGGCAAAGAACTTTCTGCACCTCTATCAGTAGTTATTAGTCAAGTTTATCAAGTTTATTCTAGCTCTTCGAGTATATATTTATTGGTTTTTTCAAGTAAAATGAGCTTAGTTTCTTCCTCAGTTATAAGGATCATTATAAATGTAGTATTTGTAAATATTTCAAGAGGCAATTCAATTATCATGGTCCGGAAGATGGGTTGAATGCCACTTTAGAGGTATCCAAGGCTGTTAAAGTTATCTGCGTTTCAGGTAAACTTCATAAAAACTCGATGTGCCAGTTGAGTTGTTCTAGTATTCCTTACCAGCATTTTATTTTTTTAGAGGAAGACTCTAAAAAAAATAAGATAAATTATCATAAATCCATAAATTTACCTGAAATTTTCAGTGATTTTTATAATGCTGGTGAGGGATGAAATTATATTTTTCATACAAAATCTAGGATGGTTCTCCCATGAAAATAGGAAGTTCCTAGAAATACTGAAACTGCGTGTCCAAGGCAAATTTCTTTCATGCAGGAGACTCTGATGTGCTTGTTTGCAAAATTTGAGAAAATAAATCAAGAAATTAACTATTGTCCTTCTTTATGATCCAGATCTCCAAAAATGAGCAGTTCATCCTCTTATTTGTTTGTTTTAAAGACACTGAAGTTGTTGGAAGTCAAAGTCTATAGAATTAGCTCAACATTTTACATGCAGTAAGCACACTCACAGAACTATCAATGATCACTCAGTTATTTAGAGGATCTAGGTATTGATTTAGCAAAACTGGATCATCAGTCGAAAACATTTAAGTGAAAGGTCTTAAATTGTTTCTTCTTTTTATTTCAGGAAGCAGAGCATGCCATTGTAGATGACCAATCGTTCATACATGTTGTTGACTTGCGGAAGTAGGCATCTCTATTTTTCTTTTGATCGCACCTCTGATCATCCGTTTATCCCTGCAGCCCTTATCTTTTTGCATTCTTAAAAGTTTTTTGTCACATCTTTTTCTGTTCTGGAGCACTTTTAGACTTGTTGTTCAGAGGCAGAAGTTAAGCACGTTCTTTGAGCAATTTTTAAACACATGAAAAAGTATTGGTTGAAGTCTACCCTGGACTGTCAAGTTATTTAATCCTCATCATCAATCTAATAAGAGACCTGATCATGATCATCTTAAATGTTTTTCAATTAGGGAGGCAGCGCAACGAAGCTAGTATGTTTCATTTCCGTATGATTTTCTGTGATATGAATTATGTAATGAGTTGGTGAGCTGATATGAATTACGTAATTAATTGGTGAGCTGAACAATTCCTTTGAACATTTCTGCCTTCAGTGAAAAGAAGTCCGAAAAGAAGTTGGATTTTTATTTGAAACTCTTTACTCCAAATGTTTACAGGCCATTGCGAAACCTTTAAGCTTTCATAAAAAGTAGTTTACCTATTTTTTAATCAGGTTTTTATCATTGTAGACTTCTGATCTGTTGATGAATGACATGCTTTTCAACCAATCGTAGGTTAGGTGTTTTTAATGCATTTTAGATTGGCAAGAGTCAACCTCGCTTTTTTGAAAATGCCACCGGTTCATTTGATTCTGTATCTCTCAGTGTCATTAATAGATTTTGTGTCGAAAATATTGCTCACTATTATATTTTCACATGATCAGGATTACGTATTTACTCACAGCTTTAATATTTCAGAACATATTCACTGCAGAACGGAGGAAAGTTTAACTTTTGCCAAACAACAAAACACTGAATTTAAACAGATCAATTTTTGAGTGTAATTTACTTTTGTCAGTCAGAAAATTGGTCGACATTAAATTAGAAAGAATAAGTTGAAAATCACATCTATTGTGTTTGTAAAGAAACAAAAATCATAAAAAGAATAAAAAATGGTTGGTCCATTAAACCCATCATATCGGCTCCTAATGTATTAGTGGGTGTATTTTGAGCATTGAGTTCATCGTCAACCCCAAAAAAAAAGTTGACTTTGTTTCTATTCATTTAAGTTTTTTTTTTTGTTTCAAACCGTCAATGAGCCTTATACTTGCAATGAACTTATTTAAGCAAAATCAATTAATAGTTTATGAACTGGATCTAATGGCAAAATTTTTCCTCATTCTTTTTACGATTTTTGTTGGAAAAAGAACCTACGTTTCAATAGGTTATTTGACACTCATACAATTTTGTAATGATGCATTTAAGCTTTATAATTTGTTTGAGATCAGGGGAAAGGTAAAAAAGTGATGGCCTTCCCTTACTTTTACAGAATACTTAATTCACATTCCAATATAAATTATAAAGAAGAGAGAAAACTTACCTTCTTTTGTTAAGTATATCCTAATTTAGCTCACAAGGTTTGTTAACTAATCAAAGCAAATGGGCCATTAGACATGGTTCAAAATTAAGCACCACCTAATGTGATTCCGTATCACATTATTATGCAGAATATGATGGACTCATTAAACCTTTCCAAATGCATTCACAAGTTAGAAGATAACAATTTTTGTCTTGGCTAATTCATACTTCCTGCTCACAAAGAAACCAAAGTCTTCGAGTCAAATTAGGCATTAAATTATTATGGGTATATTTCACAATCAAAGAATTTTCCTGCGTACTGACTTTTTGTTTAAAAACAAAAGGTACCTTGCATCACAAAAGGGAGGGAATGTGTGTGAAATCAAGATGTAGATATTTGCCCAGCATTATAGTGAAATTTCAATGCCTAATTTTGCCAATGTTGACCATGGTTTCTCAGCGAGTTGAAAGTTTGAACTTACTGTTTATGATGTAAACTAAACAGATTTGTGATACCCTCTCCTTACATGCAGTTTAAATTCATTCAACTTCAGTTGTATTCTGTAATATGTATTTGATTGAGCTTAGGATTTAACAAACCGATGTGATGTTCAGTTTTATCAGGATGGTAGTTTTTTCGGAATTATAATTCTAATCTTCCAATTATGATTATTAGCACTACATTTTGAAATCCAGAGCTTCTTTTTTGCTTCTAACTGGGACATTGCGGAATTTTTTTCTTCATATTTTGAATTCACTTGAGGAAAGTAATTCAAAATGAAATCACATTGCATTTTTCTGTTCTGCGATTAATCATATGTACTTCAAATTTTAAAATCAACTGTTCCTGCACACATCAGGGTTGACACAGAAAAGGAATATTATTGGGAAGTGTTTGGAAATTTTAAAATCAAGAAATACTAAACTCACTGGCATGTAAGATTTGATCATTAGCGAATGCATTTCGCTGGCCCTACCTCTGGTATCCTCAGCGCAACTGGAAATTTTAACTAGTCAGGAAAGACCTTGAACTCGAACAAAAAAAATTTCTATCACTCTTATTTGGTTCCCAAACTGGGTTTGTCATTTTGCATGACAAATTTTGATTCAAAACTGTTCCAAATTATACCTTTGTAATCATCTGGCATATCTTTTAATGTCAGGGGAATGTCAAAGAATTTCATTTTCTAAATTCTGTGGGAACCCTGCAGAAATGTCATTCAATTTTTTTTGGGAATCTTTTAGACTGGATCAAATGTTGGCGTATAGACATGAACGCAAGGGTATGTTTTAAAATCGTCAAAGGAAATTTTTTTTAAAGATCAGATGCAAGAAGAAAATTGGTTTTCTCTTCACAAAATCTGCTCAGTCGTTGTTTATCCATACCAAAAGAATCTGTCTGCACGACAATTTTATTTTAATATGTTGCAATGCCCTTGTGCCCTTTTGCAAAAAATTGTACCAACGTCCTTCTTCCACGAAAGCGTTTGGTACTGCCACTTTTAGTATTGACAGTTAAATAGCATCTGTGTCAGAGAACACTTTTATAAACCATAGGTCATGACCTTACTCGTGGTTTTATCACGAGGAAGAACCCATGCTGGTAGAGATGATTCGAAACCTATGCCCTTCCTCCACTGAAGTAGTTATTCAAATGTTACAGAAAGCCGGTTTAAAGATCTATCTATTCTGATAAAATTGCTCTGCAGTATGTTGCATTCACTCTCAAAGAATAGTATTCCGTCAAAAACGAAATTTCTGAAAATTTGCCAGCTCCGCCATTCTTCATAAATTCCATTCAATCAGTTACTGGCATTTAAATTCCTATCTAGGTATTTCTTGTCCATACGTGTACCTTAGAATTTTGTAACACAACACTGCAAGTTTAATTTATATGAACACTTTATCGAGAAATTGCTCGCTGATTTGTCCTCAATCAATGAATATATGAAATCAATTTCTCCTCAAAGTTAAACACTATTTTTGAAGCATATTTCTTAGCCACAGAATTTTTGTAAGTGAAATGTTTGTGATTATTATTTTTTTATCTGTTCCAATGCACTTTTGTTAATGCAGGTATGTAAATATTTTGAGGGGAATCCAAGACTTTGTCTTTGATCGAGTACATTTATAGGGAGAGTATCGCCATCTCACCTTTCCGCTTCCTCATGGAGGCTTTCTCCCGGCTCAAAAATGTGTTGCCAAGCTAAAGAAGAACGCTGTATTATCATTCGAGAGTTGTCAAATGTCCCTGTATACAACATGTATTTTTGACGAAATTTATGTTTATTTTTCCTCATAATTTTCAGAGGTTTTAGATTAAATTGCGTGCGAAACTGTCTAAAAATTTTGAAAAAAAGTATTCACAATTTCCCCTGTAAATTCGGTTTTTTCGAAGGAAATTTGGCAACGTCTGAAGGCTTATACGGCGTTCTCCCTCAGCACGGCAGTATATTGAATGGGAGGGAGTGTGGTGCCAACCTTTCCACCGAAGTGGACTACGAAAAAAAGTATTTTTTTTTATCATGCCTTTTGGTTGATCAAAAGTAATAACCCATAGATTTTAACAGTTATGGAAGCGAAATTAATGGGAATTCTCAGTAACTCTAGTCTAAATGAGTTTCTAAATTATACAACTTTTAAGTCTTAAGAGCTCCAAGATAACTCAAGATAGGAAAGCCAATCAAAAGCGGCCCCCTCATGGCAATACTCTTTTTGTACAGGTTCTCAAGTCTTCAGGATACATCCACTTTCTGTGTCTAAAGCAAAACACGTTTCACCAATACTAAAAATGAATGCTAGTCAAATATTTTATATTCTATAAATGAAACTATAACTTTTGTTGTTATTCATAGTTTTATTTATCAATCAATAAATGATTCAAATAACAACTAGTTACCTACAGTGTTGCCTAGCTCATTTTTTCTCATGTCCTTTTTAAAAACGAAAGTGAGAGTGGAAAACAACTTAAAATAAATTGTCATCTCCGGCAAGAAGGAACATATCTCAATTAAGTTGTTTTGGTATTTCTTACCGACATTTTATTTTAGAACTGTTCCATGAGTCTGTCTGAAATTTTCAGTGATTTTTCTCAATACTTTAGAGATGGGAAACTAAATTTTTAGACAAATTCATGCAACAGTTCTTAGTCCTCCCAAGAAAAAAAAAAAATTCATAGAAACAGCGCTCCGGAGGTATGAGCCTTCGCCCGGGAGACAATGAAATATGTTTGTTCCCATTTTAAGTTTTATCACATTTTATTCAAAGAAATGTTCTTCAATTAATGAAATTTTGCTGAATTGAGCTGTAACTAATGTAGACAAATAAAATTAAAATTTTCATTTTCATGGGAGTATAAATAAATATTGGCTGTTTTCTGAGAGGAAATGGACAGCTTTAAAATGATTTGCCGAACACACCTCATTGCCCGATATGCTCTCATAAGTCTAGGCTTTAATGAACAGCCCAAAAGAATGAAATTTCAGGATTAATCTGAGTGAGTTACCTTTTAAAGGCAGAGTGTTTGAAACAGCTCAATTTTTTACTCCATTTTTCAGCAATGACTCAGCTCAAAGAAAGAACATTATAATCGATTGAAAAATCATATAACTATTTCTCAATGAGCTTAAGCCCATCAAAACTGAAACCATCCTTGAATTATCTGAAGAGTCAGATTTTAGGACAAGGCGAGAGAAATTGTTACTGTCAGAAAAGGAGACACCTTTTTTTTTCACAAATAGATCAGGATTTGATTTGGACGGCTAAGCCATATTATTGTGGCTGCGCTTGTTTCGCCACCTCCTATTCCCTTTCTTACACCAATGCAGTAGTGTAATTATCGAAGTGAACAAATCTTGACTTTCCAACTGGCATCATAAGAAGAAGAAGGCATTGAGAGACGGTAAAAACTGAATAAGACATAGAATAATTTGAGAAAGAACAATTTTACATTCGAGATATCAAAACACGATGTCAATATATAAAAAACATGGAAATACAACAAGAAATACAACATTGGTCGTCTATGAAACTATAAGACAATAAACAGCAGCCGATACATAGAATCTATTAATTTACTTTCTAACAATTCAGTATGCCTGCGCAGTTTTAAGAAAAGGTTGGAACCAGAGCAAATAGAGGGCATTATTCAAAAATCTGTCTCATCATAAAATTTCTTGTCGGCTTGATGTAATGAGTAAAATTTTTAATAGTTACAATGAAGTGAATAGCCTCACGAAGAATCAATGTGACACCTACTCCACCAAAAAAGTCTCTTCTTAATACTTCAATGGACAGGACCTCCTCCTTTAAATTTACCAAACACATATGGAATCATAGTTGTAAAAGAGTAGTATTGAATTTATAGTTAATTGTTGCGAAAAATATCCCTGACAAAATTTTTCAAAGTCAATAATTAACCAGGGAGAAAATTGAAAGTTTACAAAAATAATCAAACACCATCATGACTTGAATCATAAAACAAATTGTGACACAATAAAACTAAGAAAATAAAAGAGATGGTGATAATTACATGTCGATGAGAGAGGCAGAAATAAAATTAATAAATAGTTTGAGGGAAATAAGTATGAAAGTATAATAGAGAAAGCAACAGGTTTAAATAGTGTCACTTATCTTCGCACCATTCATTATCTTTGCGGACTCTCTCTTCTTCAGCTGGTGTGAAATCTTTTGGGATATTGAAAACTTTACGAATTTCATCGGGTGTTTTGCCTTTAATCATATTAGCGACCATCTTACAGGACATGTCTAGAAGGCCTTTAATATCTAAATAGTTGGCTGCTAGGATTAAATCAAACAGGGTACCTTGATCTACTTTTAAGAAATCGACATCCCACGAGGGTATGTCATCTGTTCTCTTTTCAACATTTTCATTGTCATCAGGGATGGGTGGGTCATCTTTGTGGTGTTCAGCCCATTCAAGAACTTTCCTCAGAATTGCTGAATTGACATTCGAGACGGGCACCTCTTCTTCGTCATCTTCATATCCTAGATCTTCGATCATGGTTTTAATGGTGACTGATAACTTAGCAACTTCCAAGTCAACGGTAAATATCTCGCCATCTGAACTTTTGAGCTTGATGTTCGGCATTGTGGACACGGGAGTCAGCAGGTTTACAGACAGGAGTATATGTACTTACAGCTTTAAACTTGTAATTGACTCCGAAAATTTGTCACTCATGAAATAGATGAGTGCAAGAAGTACCATGAAGAAGAATAGTGCAGAGGCAGATGATTCAAAAGACATACAGAAAATAGTAGAACACAGCAAATTGAAATAAATTGAAACCTGTAGAATTACACAGAAAGCATGTTCAATTCTGTCCCTTTGTTTATGTTGAGCAGTTGAGCTTGTTGACTAGAGAGTGATGATTGATGGATGAGGAGTAAACGCGGGTACAGCCCTCTGTCCTTGAAAAAAAAGCGGTAAATTTAAAAAAAAAATCAAAGAGTTAGTGTTTACTCCTTGTCTTTGAAAAATTGGCATTCTGCTGCGAACAGTAGCTTTTTGAAGTAAGTATGCGGTATCACACGAAATTGAAGGAAATTTTTTTACATTTTACATTTTTTACATTTTTTTACATTTTTTAATTTTTTAAATTTTTTTTACAAAAATTCAAATTTTTTATAAAATTTCAAATTTTTCACAATTTTTTTAACATAAATTAGAATGAGAATTGTAAAAATTAGAAATTTCAACTCGAAGAACAAATCAACTTCCATTCTACACATTATCCCAATGATTTTGATTTCCATTAATCCAGATTAGAGTACCTAATCCAGATAATATACGTACTCGTCATTTAAATCTAAATAGTTTATAATTTTTTTTTACAAAATTTCAAATTTTAATGTTCATTGCGTCACAAATTCAATTTCAAATGGTGATTCTGAAAAAAAATTCACGAAAAAACCGATGGAACCACTCTCAGAATTTATTGTTTAGCTTCTTCAAAAATGTAAGCTTTCAAAGTGTCCAGATTTTTCCCGACTTCTCCTATTAACTCGATCCACAGTGCTACGTTGCCATTAACATACATATATTATCCCTTTAATTATGGTAAAAATGGAGCAGAAAGTTAAGAATAATATCGCGTTGTAATACATTTTCAGTGATTTTAGCGTCGCGCCAGCCAAAGAAGAGAACGCAGTCCAGTTATCTTCGCAGTGTGAAGCGCCTTCAATCCGGCAAGCGGCAATCTGCCCTCTTACGCGTGCCGAGAAAGAATTCAAATAATAGCGACTGCTCCTCGCGAAAAAAAAACTGCGTTACACACCATCTCTCAGGTTTTTTTTAAATCAGTTTTTTTTAAAAAAAAACTTCACAGATTATCGACATCCCCCCCCCTCTGCGAATCAGACTCCTCGAAATCGGAACTGTTAGCCTTTTTACCCGAAAATAACTCTACACAAATATGAACGCAATATTATTCGAGCGACTTGGTGGATAAGGCGCATAGGTGAAGTTTTTGAAAAAAAAAATGAGATATTAATTATTTAAAGTAAATTAGTCTTAGTGGATATTCCCTCCCAAATTCCAATTTTTCAGCATCAAAAAAGCCAGTTTGAACTTTCTTATCGCCATAAGAATCCATGTAATTTTGAAACTTCGAATACGTATTTCTCGCAATAGTAAAAACTGCACTTATGCGCCTTTTTTTCTCCTAGCCCCTCATTTGAATTTTCATAAATTGGACTACATTTTGCAATTATTCAGAACTACAATTTCTTGCTCGGTTTATTCTAAAGGACATGTTTACCACTAGTTTCCCTATGAACATAAGCGGTTTTACGATTAAGTCAGAAATTAATTGTACTTCCTAATCGCAAAATGCAGTCCAAACATACTACTGGCTAAAGTACAGAAGAAGGAGAAAAAAGCGTACTTATCTCTGATTGCAATATTGTTATGCTCAGATCACAATTTATTTTTCTATGAAGAAACAAGCCATTCGTTTTTTAGTAAGTTTTTGTACATTTTTTTCCCAGCATCGAGAGGCTCACAGAAAAATCAGAGGCAGTTCTACTTGCTTTAATAATAATATAAAATTTTTAAAATGTGGTACGAGAGTTATGCATTTTCCGACTTGGACAGCCACCGGCGGCGTGCATGTTTTGTAAAATGATATCGTAAGTATAAATGCATTCTCATTATTCTTGTAGCAAAGAGCAGATTAGTTCCGAAGATGACTTCCGGCAGAAAATCTGCGTTCAAATTCAAAATAACCGGATCAAATTCTTGAGGTTTCGACGTTTCCACCACCGGATGCCCACCCATGCTTTTGCTCACATCGGGCGGCGAGCAGTGAAAAGTGAATGCGAACAGGGTTCTTGCGGTCTGAGAAGGGGAAACAGAGACGCCCAGACGTCTTTCTGTCTGAATTCGGGTAGCACGCGCCGACAATCAGTTCTCGAAGGAAAAGATAAGCAAAAGCCGCGACGGCGACGCCAAGGCCAACACAGACAGAATACAGTCTGTCGGCGCAGTCACCCTAGCGCGAGCCAATCAAAATCGGTGTTGATCGGGAGCAGTCAACTCCGCGCGCCCCCACTCCATGCAGATTCATTCATCAGATTTCGGCGGTTGGCACTCACACTCTCACTGTTCGGTCGGTGTTTGCTCGAGTCGGTTGCAATGTCTCGCGTTCGGTCGGAGTGAAGCCCTCATGGCTGCAAGTGATTTCCTTTTCATGAAAGGTTTTAAGAATCTTTTACATCGTATCTCGTTGCTTATCTCGTTTGTTTCGCGAAAACTCTTCTGTGTGTATGGAAACGATCGTCGGTGTTCGCTTGAGTCGGTCGCAATGTCTCGCGTTCTGTCGGAGTGGAGCCCTCATGGCTGCAAGTGATTTTCCTTTCATGAAAGGTTTCAAGACTCTTTTACATCGTTTGTTTCGCGGAAACTCTTCGGTGTGTATGGAAACGATCGTGTGAAGTAATTCATCGCTTGGATTGAGTCCTCCTCGAAAGTTACTAATTTGTGCGCGGTGTCCGAGTGGATATTGAATGAAGGCAACTGATGCCCCAAATTACCATCTAATTTCTTGGTTTCGTCGTTTCCGGCATTTACTTTCGCCGTGTGTGGCTCGGTGCCCCGTGTGTTTCGCGGAAATTATTCAGCCATGTGCATGAAAACGATCGTGTCTATCAATTTGTCATTGAATCTAAAGATGGCCGCCATTGACAGTTTCTCTCTCTCTCGAAATTTTTGGTATTTCGTGCGCGGCGTGTGAGTGAACCGAATTTGGATACCTGAAATATGCTAAATCCTAAATTTTCATCGATTTTCGTAATTTCCGGTGTTTCGGTGTGCCTTTACCTCTTCATTTTCTGTTGAACATACCTATTTTTCCCGGGATTTTCTTCATTTTCGGTGTGCCTACGTGAAACTCTCCATTTTTCTTTGATCTTATTCGCGCGGGATTTTCTTCGATGTTCAGTGCTGTTGAGGGAGGGGGTAGGGGAGGGATTCGGTAGTGAAGCTCGTCCCCTCTGTCGGCGTAGTTCCGTTTTCTGTTGTGTGCGTCGCGTCGCGGCAAGTGTTACCTAGACGTAGTATCGTCTGTGTGTGTGTGTGTGTCTGCGTCTCCTTCTCAATCTTCCTACCAGGATTATTTGGACTAATATTTCTACACTATTCTTAGCAGTCGGGTATTTGGTCATATCTTCCTTTGATGTGTGTACGTATACCTTGGCGTGGTCTGGATTCAGGTCAGAATTTTTGCACATAACTTACTTAGATTCTGCTCAGATTTGGTGTCATGATTTCAAAACTGTGTGTTACTCATACTTTATTCGCCTCTTTCTCGTCTTCCTTAACCTATGCATTTCCGTCCTGTTGTTTTTACGTTTACTGTGCTTCATTTTTACAGTTCTTATCCTTTCGTGAATGCCAAGGACAAGTAGATAGGTGAATTATGATGTCATGTTCGTTAGCTAGGTCTGTCTTCTACGGGCAGACATCGTAATTTCTGAGAAAACCATGGTTATGTGTTTGAGTTAAACACAATTCAAATAATATATAGGTATCTACAGAGACCTGTCTTTCAAAGTTTCTCGTTTTATCTTAGCACCTCTTTTTGCACATATTCATAAGCCCAACATATTATTGTCCCGGTTTGAAATTAGTCGGAAATTTCAGCACCATTGAGCGAACTGTAGGTATGAGAGGGATAACTTCTGATTAAAGTGCTTTGAGTCGAGGTCTGTTATAACACTATATTTTTATAGGTGGAAAAATTTTAGGTTTTCAACCGTCTTTTTCCAAAACTTTAACTAAATCCTTGGGGAGATAAGGGGGGGGGAGGTTGTTCGGAGGTGGCGAAATTTGCCGCCAAACAAAAATTTCCGAAAAAATCAAAATGCTTACAATTGCTCCAATATAGGGGGAGGTATCTATTTACTCCCTTGCCCCAGCCCAAATTACTCACTTTAAAAGTGCGAGTTGGGGTAATTTTTTAAATCTTTCTTTTCGCATTAAATTCTATATTGACGGTGTAAGTCGGCAATCACGTAACTCTGTTTGCGTGGTCGTAGACTTCCTGTCATACTTGATTTTTTAAACGGAAAACTACTCAACGGCATTTCTTTAAAACTGCCGTGATTTTTCTACTCCGTGCGAAGAAAATTCCGCCAAATCTTCAAAAAATGATGTCAATTTGTTCTCCTCTTAAAAAGGAACATAGAGGTGGAGATTTTGAGACGCCGCAAACGAGATATCGACGGTGTAATAAGTCGGCAATCACATAACTCGTTCGCGGTGTCTGAAAATTTCCGCCTCTACGTTATTTTTTTAAAGAGAAAAAACTGACATCATTCCTTGAAGTTTTTGCAGAATTTTCTTCGCGTAGAGAAAAAAAATCACTGGGGTTTTAAAGAATGGCCGTTGAGAAGTTTTCCGTTTAAAAAATAAAGTGTGATAGGAAGTCTGCGACGTCGCAAATCGAGTTATGTGATTGCCGACTTTACACCGTCGATATACTTATCTCTCCATCTTAGTAGGTAGATTATAGCACGATTTGAGTTTCTCTTTTCAATATTTGTCATTCCTTACCTTTCCTATTCACCTTCCTCACCAATAGAAATAGGCACCTCACAAAATTAATTCGTTCTTGACTTTTTGTCTTTCCTTTCCTGTTTTTTACATTTCTTATCTTATGTTTAGTGTTGTAACTATTTTTAAAAAAAGATAACTATCTTTAAATAACCTAATTTATAAAATGTCTTGTATGTGTTAGGGATTTGCAATTTAAGGTGCTTCGACGGACGCCATTTTTCGTGTCCGAGCGGCGTGCGATATATCGCATCGATTCGTTCCATAATTTCAGCTACTTGTCATTTTTTTCGAATTTTGAGATTTCAATTCTGTTGTCAGTAGACTAAAGAATTCACTTATCCATTTTGACAAAGAAATTTAACGTAATAAAGGCAGGATTTTTTTAGAGGAAATATATCACATTCGAGTGCAGTACCCATATCAGTATCGAATACGATATCTTTCCTCTTAAAAAACCACGTCTTTATTAAGGAGAATTTCTTTGTCAAATTTGGTTTGTCGATTCTTCAGTCTCGTGTCATCAGAAATGCGATCTCAAAATTCCAAAAAAAATGACAAGTAGCTGCATAATTCTGGAACTAATCGATGCGATTTATTGTCTGTCGTTCTGACACAAAATACAGCGTCCGCATCGAATCACCTTCAGTAATTTTTCTAACTTTTTCGTTCGAAATTTCGTGAGAAACACTATGGTGCCACTGGTTTTCTCTGAAATCGATTCCCAAGCTCAAAAAAGCTCTCGAAGTTGAAGCTGTGGTGGAGGGGATATCTCTACGCAACGTTGAGAATGTACCTCTACATCCAGTCTTTTCCGTGCAAAGATAGGGATCACGTACATTAGTAGAGTTGCCACTTTTCTGGAGACTCTAAATTGGAACCACGGCAATCCTGCTAATGCATTTGCTTCCTATCTTTGCATGGAAAATTTGATTGGATGGAGAGATGGACTCTCATTGTTGCGCGGGGTATCTCCACCATTACGGACTGAACTCGGAGAGCTTTTTAGGTTTGGAAATTGATTTCAGAGAAAACAAGTGACACCAATGTGTTTCTCACGAAATTTTACGCAAAATAAGATGACTTTATTGAGATCAATAGTGGGTGGATGTTGATCCCTCCCGCGTGGATGTTGTCCTAGAAGGGGGGTGGTGGGAACCCGGGACTAAGGGTGAGTGCACGTGGTTCGTTGGACAATCGGGTGGGCAGTTGGTCGAACGATTTGTCGATCGATAGCTTTTTCTTTCCCCGCGAAAAAGCTATCGAGAGACCGTTCGACCTACTGCCCATCTGACGGTTTGACAAACGGTGAGTGCATGTGGTTTGTTGGACAGTGTGAGTGAATGTGGTTTGTTGAACGGTCGGGTGGGCAGTCGGTCGAGCAGTCTGTCGATCGGTTTTTCTCCGGAAAAAGCTTTCGAGAGATTGTTCGACCTACTGCCCACCTGACGGTTTGACAAACGGTGAGTGCATGTGGTTTGTTGGACGGTGTGAGTGTTCGTGGTTTGTTAGATGGCCGGGTGGGCAGTTGGTCGAACGATTTGTCGATCGCTTTTTCCCCGGAAAAAGCTTTTGAGAGATCGTTCGACCTATACTGTTCATCTGACGGTCTGACAAACGGTGAGTGCTTATGGTTTGTTAGACGGCCGGGTGGGCAGTCGGTCGCACGATTTGTCGATTGCTTTTTCCCCGGAAAAAGCTTTTGAGAGATCGTTCGAACTATACTTTCCACCTGACTGTCTGACAAACCGCCAGGCCTCACCTGGCTCTCGTTGAACCGTCAGGTTACGATCAGAAACTCCCATCATTGTGTGGTCAGCGATGACTTCACTTTGACGGGAGTGCGTTCGTTCCCTGTTGATGCAACGAGCGCTCTGCATGATTTTGACCCGGGATGCCGTTTCCTTTTTATATCATCCACCCTGGGTACACCTGCCGTCGAGTGGCAAAGTCTGCGGTTCGAACTCCCGCCGGCGCTGGCCTGTGGCCGTTGTGTTGCGCGTCATTGCCGTGATTTGCACGTCAGGCCTGGGTTCCGTTCCGGATCGTCCGGAACGGAATCCTGGTCAAACGGAACTTTTTCGGGGCCGAATGCACCTCTCACCCTTTACTAAGGCACCAAATTTTACTTTCATAAAAAACCTGCATCCGACTTACGTCCCGTGGTTAAGAATGTCACACATGTCAGGGTTGCCACGGTCAGGGAAAACCTGGAAAAGTCAGGGGAAAAAGTGCTCTGGAAAACCTGGAAAAGTCAGGGGAAAAAGTGCTCTGGAAAACCTGGAAAAGTCAGGGAATTTGACCATAAACAGCTAAAAATCAGGGAAAAATTGACAGTTTTCACGAGTTGCTTAAAACCTTTCTTTTTTCGGCTTGAACGCAATATAAATTGCGATGAAGTGGCAAATCTCGCGATGCATTCAAGAATTAAGTATTTCCAAATGTTCTACAATTAATTTCTGACTACTTAGCTTAAGCGCGTTTCAAATGAGACGCTATATTAGTGCGATGGTAGCTAGCAAGGTATAAATTTGGCCGTGCGATCATGGCGCGCGTTCTCAAAGGTCAGGGAATTTCTCCATTTTTCGTCAGGGAAAACCTGGAAAAGTCAGGGGAAATCATTTCCAAATTTTTGTGGCAACCCTGACATGTGTCCTATAAGGGAAAAAAGCGGCGACTCACTATTGCCCTGTCCTGAAATAAATTGGAAATTTTACTTGCGTCGCGCGGCAGACGTAGGTTTGCAGCTTCTCGAATTTTCTACTCTTAAACGCGGGAGGCAATGAACCGATTATTTTCCAAATCACGGAAACGCCAAAATTGCGAATTCAAGAAAAACAAGAAAACCCGTTTTATTTGTTTTGTTGACCATCTTCGAACTCCAAAATACGAGTGATCCCGTAGATGGCTATTTTGAAATCAGGCATGATCGATCGCATCAGAGAAAACAAAGAAAGAACAACCCCTCTCCCACTAAAATATAGATTGGCGCTTAAGTGGTTTAGAAAATAATCGGTTCAAATGGGTCGTAAGTCGGATGCAGCCCTTGAGAAAAGTCGTTTTTGAAAACCTTTTATTGAATTTGTTTCCTAATTCAGAGATTAAATTTTACATAATTATGGACAATTTTTTACTACTACTACTACTACTACTATTATTACTACTGCTATTACTGCATCTACTACTATTACTTCACTGAGTCATAATCAGGGCCGCCCAGAAGAAGGGGGGTAAGGGGGTAAACGGGTCTTTGATCATGGGGCCCGGGGTCGAAGTGGCTCCTGTGGCTCTAAAATTTGTGAGGTACCGGATCAATTTGTTCATCCGTCTCTGGACCTTTTGAGTAAGCACAATTTTTGCGTATAATCAAGTTTGTGGTCCTGACTTGCAGTCTTAAGAGCCCCCCGATCCATCTATTATTCTCTTAATTCTTGTTTTAGCCATGTTTGCAGCAATAAGAGCCATCGAATAAGTTTGAAATAATTTACATTGAGTAAGATAAAAAATGCATCTATTTTACCTTCAATATAAAAAATTCGTCCCCTCGAACCTCCCCTTTCCAGGCGGTGGTTGCCCCCAAGTTGCCAGTCACTTCAATTTGTCCCGGGCCCCATCTTGTGCTTTGGCGGCCCTGCTTTCCTTACTCAGAGACTCAACC